CCAAAAAAAAAAAAAAAGGCTTGGCCTCTGATACAGTATTGTCTCCTAGGCAAAGTTCAGAAGAGCATTTCCATTTATCCCTGTTTCATTCCTCATTTGTAACTCCATTTGGAATCTTTCCCTTCCCCACTACCTCACCTCATCCTATTCTACCTGTCTGGCTGGCTCCACAGTTACCTGCCATTTATCGCTATGAGGATTCTGCTATAAAGAGCAATTTCCAGTTGTGGCTGAGTAATCAGTTACAAGAAAGTCTTTCCCAGCTGCTATGGACCCAGGCATTTTCTTTCTTTTTTTTTTAAATTTGAGACAGAGTCTGGCTCTGTTGCCCAGGCTGAAGTGCAGTGGCACGATATGGGTTCGCTGCAATCTCCACCTTCCAGGTTCAAGCAATCCTCCCACCTTAGCCTTCTGAGTAGCTGGGATTATAGGCACTTGCCACCATGCCCAGCTAATTTTTGTATTTTTAGAGACAGGATGTTGCCATGTTGGCCAGGCTGGTCTCAAATGCCTGACCTCAAGTGATCTGCCTGCCTTAGTCTCCGAAAGTGTTTGGATTACAGGCATGAGCCACTGTGCCCAGCTATCTAGGCATTTTGTTTTCTTTTCTTTTAGAGAGGGAGTCTGTTTCTTTCACCCAGGCTGGAGTGCAATGGCACAGTCTCAGCTCACTGCAACTTCCACCTCTCAGGTTCAAGCAATTCTTCTGCCTCAGCCTCCCAAGTAGCTAGGACTACAGGCGTCTGCTACCACACTTGGCTAATTTTTGTATTTTTAGTAGAAACGGGGTTTCACTATGTTGGCCAGGCTGGTCTTGAACTGCTGACCTTGTGATCTGCCTGTCTCAGCCTCCCAAACTGCCAGGATTACAGGCGTAAGCCACACGCCCAGCCTAGCCAGACATTTTCTAACTAGAGACATAATGTAGAAAAACAGTCCTTTGTATTCAAAAAGGGGGGAAAAAAAGAGATTATTTTAGAAATACAGAAGCTTTGAGACGTTATATACAGTTTATTAAATATAAACTTAGGCCAGGTGCAGTGGCTCACATCCTGCAATCTCAGCAGTTTGGGAGGCTGAGGCAGGAGGATCGCTTAAGCCCAGGAGTTCATGACCAGCCTGGGCAACATTAGGAGATCTTGTCTCTATAAATACAAACTTAAAGAACTTATTATATATTTAACATGTGGAATCTACAAATAATTCCACCCTCTCCCTCTATCCCCAAACAATAGCTTTTTTAAGTCCTTTAAAACAAAAACCAAAA